CAGGGAAGCCATGGAAGGGTTTTAAGTAGAGAGGGGTAACCGATTCGCATGTTACAAGGGCAGCCCCAGCTAAAACATGGAGAACTGACGAGGGAGCAGGAGAGCGGCAGAGCTGGACACAGAGACCCCCATCACAGATGAGGGCAGTCCCAGAAATCCCAGGACAGAACGGCAGTGGCCTGGACTAGGACAGGGGCACACTGGAGGTCTATCTGTGGGGGCGGGAGGCGGAGTCGGGCATCCCACCCAGACCTGTCACTGGTTGGGTTCCCCCTTCATCCCTCTGCTGCCTCATTGGGCCATGGTCTCCCTCCTCCTAATGAGGACATAAGGGTCTCAGCCGCCCACTCTGCTTTGCTGTCCCTTTTCCAGTGCCTCTGGAAACAGAACCAGAAAGATGTGGTTGGAGCGTCTCAGGGAGGTGGAAACCCAACAAAAACGGGAAGCATCAGTGGCCAGTCCTTCCCTCGCTGCAGATGCCAGCAGTCCCCACTGGCTGCCTGGTCTGCAAGTGCCAAGGGCTGTGGTAGGCCTGAGGGTCGATCCGGGATCTGGAAGTGCCGCTCACCACTGCTCATCACACCCACCCACTGCCACTCCCTCTGGCCAGAGCCACAGAGCACGTGCCCCCAAAACCTTCTGATACCTGGCAGCTACTGCCTCTCCGCCCCTCCAGCTATTCCCAGCAAGGCAACATCTAAAGGCTTCAGAGGAGTCCTAGCAATTCAGTCCTCCCAGGAGCTGATGCCTCTCTGAATTCGCTGCTTCCTGTCCCAGCTCCCTGGGAGGAGTTCCCGTTTCGTGCCACCTAGCCCTGCATCTCCTAAGGGGCTCCTTCCCAAGCTTCAACAGCTGCTGGCAGGGATGAGCCCCCAGGAAGCCGGAGTGCGGAGGGGACAGCTCCGCACATTCTCTGCTGGCACCGCACTCACTGCAGCTCCCTGTCACTGCTCCTATACAAATCTCCAGTTCAGATCCCTCATTCAAATGTCCCTCCTATCCTCAAAAAGCTTCCCCTCTCAGAGTTGCCACAGAACAGGGGCAGAGCCACACAATCAACTGTGCATGAACATCTACAGCTCTGCGGTCCCCTGCACAAACAAGCTTCCTCTGCCAGCCTGGAGTTTCGGATGGGCAGAAACCGCATCACCTACTTCTCAGAATCCCCCACCTAGCAAATGCCTGCTCATTATCAGACTGAAGCTCCACCACCTTCCTGCTCCAAACTTACGACGCCTACTGCCAGGACCTCCCGAGGGGCTGCCTTCCCTGCCATTCAACACACGTGTACTAAACAGGGTCGCACGGCAGGTCTTCTGCTAGGAGCAGCTGTATTAAGCTCTTCACAGAAAAGTTATTCAGAGTCCATCAGGAAAATCTGACACTGCCCAGGTCTTAAGGGATCTCACGGGGGAAGTCACACTGTCTGTTAGCGCTAAGTGTTCAAGTAAAGGTGTGTAAAAGAGGTGCCGCTGATGGGAGAGTAAACTGGTGGGTCAACATGGCAGAGTCGATCCCTGTTTCTTTTTCTTGTCTTTTTTTTTGAGATGGCATCTCGCTCTGTCACCCAGGCTGGAGTGCAGTGGTGTGATCTCGGATCACTGCAACTTCCGCTTCCCGGGTACAAGTGATTCTCCTGCCTCAGCCTCCCGAGCAGCTGGGACTACAGGCGCCTGCCACCACATCTGACTAATTTTTGTATTTTTAGTAGAGACAGGGTTTCACCATACTGGCCATGCTGGTCTTGAACTCCAGACCTCGTGATCCACCTGCCTCAGCCTCCCAAAGTGCTGGGATTCCAGGCGCGAGCCACCGCGCCCAGCCCAATCACTGTTTCATAAACACATCCATTCTACTATTCCACTCATCTGTTCTGCTTCACACTCGCACATGAATAAGGGGTACTCACTGCAGCCATGTCTGATGGGGAGAAAAACTAGAAAAAATCTAAAAGTCCACCAACCAGGGTCACACTCAATCAGCTATGGTGTAAACATCCCATGGGACTCTACGCAACTATGAAAAAGCGTAAGAAAGAGTTCTCTGTGCTGATATGAAAGAAAACAAAAACACATTATGTCACAGAATGATACATACAGCAGCAGTTCATCTATTACACAAACACAATAACTCTTTTCTCTCGGGAGAGAAGAGCAAGAAAGGGATGAAGAGAAGAAACTTTCCTTTTTCACTCACATATATATGTGTATACACACACACACACACACACACACACACCCCTCTGAGATGTCTGAATTTTTACTAATGTAACAATAAAAGAAAACAAAAGTGCAAAGTGACAGTGCTGGCACCATGCCAGACACTAGTTCCTCTCAAACTCCAAGAAGGGTCATTAAGTGAGGGGATAAACATCTTTTCTCTCATCAGCCTCCAGGATGAGAAGATGGTGTGGTGGGTGCTGTGCAGTGCACTGGTGCAACATCCCAGAGGCTAAGATTCAGTCCAAGCTCTGCTATGACTGCTTGGGTGACCCTGGGGAGGCTACTACGCTTGCCTGAACCAATTTTCTCAACTGTACTGGGTAGCAGAGAGGTACAGAACATGTGCTTAAAAGTCCACCGACGGTCGGGCATGGTGGCTTACACCTGTAATCACAGCACTTTGGGAGGCCGAGGCAGGTGGATCTCTGGCGGCCGGGAGTTCAAAACCAGCCTGACCAACGTGGCAAAACCCCCATCTCTACTAAAAATACAAAAATCAGCCAGGCGTGGTGGTGCACACCTGTAATCCCAGCTACTTGGGAGGCTGAGGCAGGAGAATTGCTTGCAACTGGGAGGCAGTGGTTGCAATGAGCCGAGATCATGCCACTGCACTCCAGCCTGGGTGACAGAGTGAGACTGTCTCAAAAGAAAAAAAAAAAGGTCCACAGACAAGCCCTTCTGCTCATCTGCTGGGATCCTCGATAAATCACCCTCTCAAAACTTCCATTTCCTCGTGATTTTTTTTTAAAGGCAGGGGGAATATCCTTTACCCTTCCAGAAGGCCATAAGAATGAAATGACAGCTCGTATCTACAGTACTTGATACACAGCCCCAGACATGGTATGTGCTCACTAAATTGCAGCTGGTGCCGTTATTGCTGAGTGAGGTAATGACACTGCCTCTGCCTACATCACGGGGCACTGAGAAGATCTGATGAGATGTATGCTGGGAAAGAGCTTCGGAAGTAGAGAGTGGGACACAAGTGAGAGCAGTTACATAAGGATTCTGCTCCCACCCCAGCTCCAAGCCTCAGCCACCACAAGTGAGGGCAGGGGGAGAGTTACTTGAGGTCTTTACTCATCCTACGAACAAAATACCGTTTTTGTTGTTGTTGTTTTCTGAGATAGGATCTCACTCTTTCGCCCAGGCTGGAGTGCAGTGGTGCAATCATGGCTCACTGCAGCCTCAACCTCCGGGGTTCAAGCAATCCTCCCACCTCAGCCTCCTGAGTAGCCGGGACTACAGGTGCACATCACCACGCCCGGCTAATTTTTGTACTTTTTTGTAGAGATGAGGTCTTGCTATGTTGGCCAGGCTGGCCTGGAACTCCTGGGCTCAAGGGATCCTCCCACCTCAGCCTCCCTAAGTGCTGGGATTACAGGCATGAACCACCGCACCCCATCCCTACCGACAAAATTCTCATCAGTTATTTATTTGGGTGCCAGCTTCCACTAGATAGAAAACGGCAAATCGGAAGGGGAAACGTGGGCTGCTACAAGGAATACTAGCAGAAAAGTACTGACAATTTCTGCTAATAATAACCCAGTCCAAGAATCTTCAGACCTCCAGTGGGCCATTCCTAATCCCTTCAAATCCGGACATCTCCATGATCCTCCAGTCACTGCCAATGGACCTGATGCTCCACGAGGTCACAAACCCCAGCCCAACTCTTCAGACTCTTCCATACATCAGCCCGGAGCACATCCCTGTCCCAAGCTACCCCACAAACCATGGGGTCTTTTCCCAGGACTTCCACAAACATATCTCCTTCCCCCCAACCCCACCCTACCCCCGTTCTCTCTGAGATGCCTCCTCATGTTGCCTTCGGGCTCTACAAAATTCTCCCCCTTAAAGCATCACCCCAGGGTAACACCTAACTCGTCCTCATTGGCACCATCCCAGGACCCTCACCTCCATACTGGACATGCCCGACACCCCCACACTCCAGTTCAGGGTTCTCTTCCTACATCCTACACACACGTCCCATCTCAGTGCCATCGCGCCCACTCCTGCACACCCCCAAGTGGAACTTCCACTCTCAAGTTCTCCCACCCAGGCTCCTAGGGTACATCTCCTGCTCTGTCCACACTTCCACTCCAAAGATCCCTTCCCTGCACTCTGCAGCCACACATGCCCGGGATCCCCAAAGTTTCCTCTAAGAGGGAAAGGCACACACCTTCATCCTGGACCCCTCGAAACTCTCTTCCCACCTCTCGGGTCCTTACACAGCCACCCTTCCGTGCCCACTGTCCAGTCGCCCCGAAACACACCCATCTCAGGCTCCCGGACTTCCTCTCCCTAACTCCTCCCGGTTCCCGGTCTGGATCCGCTCTTTCCCAGCGTGTCCCAAGTCCCCCCTCGGACGCTTCTACTTCCCACCTGCACCTGGCTAGGGCCGGGGTCGGGGGTCCCTCTGCGCCCGCCGAGCTTCTGCTCACTCCCACAGGAGACCACTCAGGTCTTTCCCAGACCCCTCCAGCTCCTCTCCACACCCTTTCCCGAGTTCTCTTGGGCTCCCCTCCAGGGTCCGAGTCGCCTCTCTCAGGAGCCCCGCGGCCGGCGCGCTCAGTTCCAGTCCCAGTCCCACTCCCAGCCAGTTCTGGTACCTCGGCCCCTCTCTCTCGGCCGGTCCCGGTGATCCCTCCCACTCCCGGTCCCTCCACTCCCACCTCGGGCCGTCCCGGTCCCCTCCCACCCGGGGTGCCCTCAGGACACCCCTCGGACGGCCCCTCACTCGCCCTCCGGGACCGTCGCGGTCCCCTCCCGCCCCCCCCCCGGCCGTCCCGGCGGCCATTGCTCCAAGATGGCGGCGGCGGCGGCGGCGGGTGAGGCCGGGCCGGGCCGGGCCGGGTGGGGTTGGGGGGTCGGGGGTCCCGGGACGGCGCTCACCTGTAACTCGGCGCGCTCGGCCTCCCAGCGGGCTTTCTCGGCTTCAAAGCGCGCCCACTCGTGCTGGATAAAGTGCAGGATCCCCGGCAGGCTCAGGGGCTCCGGGCCCGCCGTGGGCCCAGGGCTGCCTCCGCCGCCGCCTCCCTTACCTGCCGGGCCCGGCCCGGGGGCAGGGGCGGAGACCGGGGCCGCCCCAGTGGGGCCAGGGCCCGCGCCTGAGCCGAGCGGACGGCAGGAGGAGGCGGCGGCGGCGACCGCGGCGGCCGCTCGCTCCTCCATCATGGAGGCCCCGGGGCCGGCCCGCGCGCCCGCTGTGCTTCGCGCGCCTGCGCGGGCGCTCCAACACCCCCCCCCCCCCCCCGCACCACACACACCACCACCGCGCGCGCGCCTGACGGAGGACAGTGGGAAGAGGGGCTGGTGGCGAGCGCGAGGCCGGGCACGAGCCTCGCCCACCCGGGTCGACCCCGAGGGCTAGCGTGCCCGCGCGGGGGGCGGCGAGAGGGAGATCGCGCCCCGAGGAGGGCGAGGGAGACCCAGACCCCGCACGACGGTCCCCCTCGCTGGAGTGAGACTGAGGAAGGGGCCACTTTCTGCCCCCCTCCTCCTACTCCGCCCCAGAAAAAGAGCCTTACCCCTTCCACACCCAAACATCACTCTCCTGGACAATTACTTTTACTCTGAGAGAAAGGGCGACCAGCAGTGGCCCCATCCTCTCTGATTCCTGTCCAGGTCGGTTGTCATGGTAACCTTTCCCCATTGGTGGGGGCGAGTTGGTGGGGGACAGCCTTCCCCTCCCTTCCACCTTTGTGGTTATGGAGCCCCAAACCTCTTCGGACTCTGCACCAGGAGAAGGTTGCTAAGGTAACCTAAGTCCCTGGTGGTCCTTCTGCTCCTTTCCTCATTGGTTACTATGGCAACCCCCCACACCTAGCATTCAGGTAGAAAGTACCCCAGCCCCAAAGACGCTGATCTCTAAGAGAAGCACCTCTTCCCCAGCCCCTCCCCCATAGCCACCTAGTTGGCATTACCATGGTAACCGTCTTCCCCTTCCCATTGTGGGAGGCCCATGCACCAAACCAACCAGGTGTTTTTATTTAGAGGAGGAGATGCTCTGCTGAGGGGCAGTTGCTATGGTTACAGGGCCTGGACCATCCTCTGGGGGACGAGAAACAGGCAAGGTCAAGGCCTGGTTACTATGGTAATAGAGAAGCCCCCTTCGAGTGACCCTAGGAACCAAGCCCAACCAAGGAGGGGAATTTTTTTTTTTTTTTTTTTTTGGAGACGGCGTTTCACTCTTGTTGCCCAGGCTGGGATGCAATGGCCCGATCTCGGCTCACCACAACCCCTGCCTCCCTGGTTCAAGCTGTTCTCCTGCCTCAGCCTCCCGAGTAGCTGGGATTACAGGCATGTGCCACCACGCCTGGCTAATTTTTTTTTTTTAGTAGAGACGGGGTTTCTCCATGTTGGTCAGGCTGGTCTTGAACTCCGACCTCAGGTGATCAGCCTTAGGCCCGCCTCAGCCTCCCAAAGTACTGGAATTACAGGTGTGAGCCATCACCCCTGGCCAGGGGATGTTTTAAGAATCTCTGAGAGGTGGAGTGTGTCTAGGGAGGGGGTTGTCATGGTAACAGCTTCTGTTGGCTTCTAGCCCTACCTTTTCTGGACACATTCATGCTAGAGGGATGGTTATAGGTTGCTGTAATAACTGACATCCCTCCCATTCACCCCACCCCACTCCTGAGACACCCCAGGTGGTGCCTGAGATTATGGGACTTCAAGAGAAAGGATTCCCTGACCTTTCTCTTGCCACTATTGTGGATAAGATGAAATTGTGCTCTATTGTACAGAAATGGCTAATTTGGGGTTTTCTGGTTCTCCTCTCAGGAGTGCAGCTCAGCTGGGCTGGAACTGCCCTCCTGGAACTCCCCCAGCCTGCAACCTAGGAGGTAAAAAATCCCTCAGTGTCACCCGCATTCTCATGGAAACTGCCCTTCCCTTATTTCCTAAGGCTTTCCCATGTCTCTCATTTTTTTCTTTTCTTTTTTTCCTTTTCTTTTTTTTTTTTTTTTTTTGAGACAGAGTCTTCCTCTGTTGCCCAGACTGGAATGCAGGGGTACGGTCACAGCTCACTGCAGCCTCCACCTCCTAGGTTCAAGTGATTCTCCTGCCTCAGCCTCCCGAGTAGCTGGGATTACAGGCGCCCGCCACCACGCCTGGCTAATGTTTTGTATTTTTAGTAGAGACGGGGTTTCACCTTGTTGGCCAGGCTGGTCTCGAACTCCTGACCTCGTGATCCACCTGCCTCGGCCTCCCAAAGTGCTAGAATTTACAGGCATGAGCCACCGCGCCCAGACCTCTCATTTTTTTCTAACCGTCACATTCCCATTCCACAGATGCAGGAACTAAGGCTCAGGCCAAATCACAGCTCAGACCCCGTGAACCCAAGGCCTGAAGAGAATTTTGATTCATTTACATTGTTTTGTGGGGACTGGAGAGACAAGTAAGTTCTCAGCTTAACTGTCCTCTCCGGCTCTGACTACCATTTCTAAGGCAAGCCCCTTGTTTCTACTCTTGCGCCCCTTGCTGGTTTCTTGCCCTGTCTGTAAGTTGTATGGTTTTTGTCCGTCTTTTTTTTTTTTTTTTTTTTTTGGGACAAGGTCTCGCCCAGGCTGGAGTGCAGTGGATCAATCTTGGCTCATTGCAACCTCCGCCTCCCGAGTTCAAGTGATTCTCACACCTCAGCCTCCCCAGTAGTTGGGATTACAGGTGCACACCACCATGCCCAGCTAATCTTTGTATTTTTTGATAGAGAGGGGGTTTCACATGTTGCCCAGGCTGGTCTCTAACTCCTGACCTCAGGTGATCCGACCGCCTGGGCCTCTGAAAGTACTGAGATTACAGGTGTGAGCCACCACAGGTGGCCCTGTCAGTCTTCTTTCTGTCTTCTGGAGGGCTGACCTAATGAGTACCTCATTCATTCTGTATCCTCAAAACACAGGGTCCACTACAAAGAATACTTGAGTTTGTTGAGTTACCGAGTTGAATTAATTTATTAATGTGCCACAGCCAAGCTTTGAAAGCACCTGTCAGGTTAGGGCTGGGGAAGGCTCACCAAAGATGGGTTGAGAGTCAGGGCTTCAGAAAGAACCCAAGAGAGAAGGCAAAGTTTATTGGTTTAAAGCACAGCTCTGTAGCCAGCTTCTTGGATCAACTCTTGGGTCCACTACTTCCCATTGTGTGAGCTTGACAGAGAGTTAAAGAGACTTAACTCTTTAAGACAACTCTGGGCACTCTTGTTGCCCAGAGACTTAACTCTTTAACTCTGTGTGCCTTTATTTCCTTTTTTTTTTTTTCTTTTGAGATAAGGTCTCACTGTGTCACTGTCACACAGGCTGGAGTGCAGTGGCAAAGTCTCGACTCACTGCAGCCTCTGCCTCCTAGGCTCAAGAAATCCTTCGACTTCAGCCACCAGAGTAGCTGGGACTAGAGGCGCGCACCACCATGCCCGGCTAATTTTTTAATTTTTGTGTAGAGATGGGGTCTTACCAGTCCACGCTGGTCTCAAAATCCCAGACTCAAGCAATCTCCCCCCGCCTCATCCTCCCAAAGTGCTGGGATCACAGGCGTGAACCACCGCATCAACTGGTTTCCATTTTTAAATGTGATCATAACGTGAGGATTAAATAAGTGAATATGCATAAAGTGCTTAGAACAGGGCCTGGCACAGGGTGAGCTGCTAGAATTGTTATTATTATCCTCCTGATTCAGAAAAATTTAGAACATTCAGACCTTCAAAATCATCATTGCATCCACTTTGCCCCAACGAAGGGGTTTGTAGCCCTTAGAGGTGGTGAAGTCTGCATGGCTTTGTCAGGGTACTGGATGATTCCTTTCCCCGCCTCAGCTTCCCTCACATCCTCACCAGCAGGTGGCACCTCCTTATCTGGCCATCAAACCCACTGGTGTCTGGTCTGCAAGGGCCAAGGTCCGTGGTGGGCCTGAGGGTAGCCAGGACCTGGCTGCTGTCCTCTGCCCTGCTGGGCACCTCCTGGCCGACCCAGAGTCAGTCAGACAGTGTGGCAAGAGCCAGGGCCTCGGAAGCGGAGACCTGGGTTCTCATCCCTGCATCCTTCCCATCTCTCTGAGCCAGAGGTTCCTGTCTTTCTTTTTTGAGACAGGGTCTCACTCTGTCGCCCAGGCTGGAGTGCAGTGGCTGGATCACAGCTCACTGCAGCCTCTACCTCCTCGGCTCAAGGGACCCTCCCACCTCAGACTCCCTTCTAAGTAGCTGAGACCACAGGTAGGTTCCACCATGCCTGGCTAATTTTTGTATTTTTTGTAGAGACAGGGTTCCACTATGTTGCCCGGGCTAGTCTTGAACTCCTGAGCTCAAGCGATCCTCCTTCCTCAGCTTCCTATAGTTCTTGGATTACAGGAGTGAACCACCACACCCAGCCCACGTTCCCTATGTTAATAATTCAAGTCACTCATTCATTCAACACATATTTATCGAGCACCTGCTATGTGCCAGGCACTGAGCTGTGCTCTGGGGATACAGTAGGGAAAACAGATCCCTGCCCTCCATGATGATTCTGGCAACAAACAGACTAAGTAAAACCCACGTGACAACTACCAGGGGAGCAAAATAAGGCAGGAATGGGGTATAGGAAGTACATGGGTGATAGGGAGATGCTTAAAAAAAAAAAAAAAAAAAAAAGGCCGAGCTCAGTGGCTCAAGCCTGTAATCCCAGCACTTTGGGAGGCTGAGACGGGTGGATCATGAGGTCAGGAGATCGAGACCATCCTGGTAACACGGTGAAACCCCGTCTCTACTAAAAAATACAAAAAAACTAGCCGGGTGAGTTGGCGGGCGCCTGTAGTCCCAGCTACTCGGGAGGCTGAGGCAGGAGAATGGCGTAAACCCGGGAGGCGGAGCTTGCAGTGAGCTGAGATCTGGCCACTGCACTCCAGCCCGGGTGACAGAGCGAGACTCCGTCTCAAAAAAAAAAAAAAAAAAAAAAAGCCGAGCTCAGTGGCTCATGCCTGTAATCCCAGCACTTTGGGAGGCCGAGGCGATCAGATCACGAGGTCAGGAGTTGGAGACCAGCCTGACCAACATGTGAAACCCTGTCTCTACTAAAAATGCAACAAATTAGCTGGGCATGGCAGTGGGTGCCTGTAATCCCAGCTACTCAGGAGGCTGAGGCAGGAGAATCGCTTGAACCTGGGAGGCGGAGGTTGTGGTGAGCTGAGATTACACCACTGCGTTCCAACTTGGGCAACAGAGCAAGACTCCATTTCAAAAAAGGATAAGGTCTCACTCTATTGCCCGGGCTGGAGTGCAGTGGTGCCATCATGGCTTACTGCACCCTCGACTTCCCCAGCTCAAGTGATCTTCCCACCTCAGCCTCCCAAGTAACTGGGACTACAGGTGCAAAAGCCATCACGTCCAGCTAGTTTTGTTTATTTTTTGTCAGCAAAGCAAGACGCTGTCCCTTTAAAAACAAAAATTGTTTTGGCCGGGTGCAGTGGCTCACGCCTGTAATCCCAACAATTTGGGAGGCCAAAGCGGGCAGATCATGAGGTCAAGAGATTGAGACCTTCTGGCCAACATGGTGAAAACTCATCTCTACTAAAAATACAAAACTTAGCCGGGCATGGTGGCACACTCCTGTAGTCCCAGCTACTCGGGAGGCTGAGGCAGGAGAATCACTTGAACCCGGGAGGTGGAGGTTGCAGTGAGCCAAGAGCACACCACCTCACTCCATTCCAGCCTGGCAATAGAGTGAGACTCTGTCTCAAAAAAAAAAATTGTTTTTGGCTGGGCGCAGTGACTCACGCCTGTAATCCCAGCACTTTGGGAGGCCGAGGTGGGTGGATCACCTGAGGTCAGGAGTTCGACACTAGCCTAACCAACATGGAGAAACGCCGTCTCTACTAAAAGCACAAAATTAGCCAGATGTGATGGCGCATGCCTGTAATCCCAGCTACTCGGGAGGCTGAGGCAGGAGAATCACTTGAACCTGGGAGGCACAGGTTGCGGTGAGCCGAGATGGCGTCATTGCACTTTACCCTGAGCAACAAAAGTGAAACTTCGTCTAAAAAAAAAATATATATATATATATACATATATATATATAAAATTAACCAGGTGTGGCATACACCTGTAGTCCCTGCTACTCGGGAGGCTGAGGCAGGAGAATTGCTTGAACCCAGGAGGTTGCAGTGAGATGAGATCACTGCCACTGCACTACAGCCTTGGCAACAGAGGAAGATTCCATCTCAAAAAAAAAAAAAGAAAAGAAAGAAAAGAAATAAGAGCAGTTTGAGAAAATGTTCAGGGCAACTTAAGCATATAGGTTGGGGAAAGCATGGCAAGAGATGAGGGCGGAATGGGGAGCAGACAAGGGGAATGTCAGAAGAAGCTTCCGCTTTCTCCCCTGGGCACTGGGGAGCCATGGCAAGTTGAGAGCAGGGGAAGGAGAGGCCCGACTTGTGCTTTAGGAAGACTCCTCTGGCTATCACGAGGAGAGGAATTGCCAGGAGACCAGGGGGAGGTTGGATGGGAATGTGGGTGGACCTGGTTGAAGAGGGAGCTGTGGAAATGGGGAGGAGGGGACAGAGGATTTAGGACATAGGGAGGTTAGCTGGATGTCCCCTCTCTCTAGGAAGGACAGAAACCTACAAAAAGTCATCATGGGGACACTTTATTTGATCATCTGCTTGGAACCCAGAGCTACACCACCTGTGCTGGAGACCCGCCAGCCAAACTTTCAAAGTCGCGGTGGGGACAAGGAGACAGCGCCATCTGGTGCTTGAGGGTGTGGCCAATGAATGTGGAGGGGAGTGTCCTAAGGTTGGCAGCCTCTTTTGATGCAAGCTACCCCACTTTTTTGTTGTTGGGTTTTTTGAGACAGGGTCTCACTCTTGTCCAGGCTGAGTGCAGTGGCATGATCATGGCTCACTGGCTCAAGCCATTCCCCACCTCAGCATCCTGAGTGGTTGGGACCATAGGTGAGTAGCACCGCACCCAGCTAATTTTTTGTTTTTTGTAGAGATGAAGTCTCCTTATTTTACTCAGGTTGGTCTCAAACTCCTGGACTCAAGCGATCCTCCTGCCTTGGCCTCCCAAATTGGTGGGATCACAGGTGTGAGTCACTGTACCTGGCCCACCCCACTTTTGTTTTGTTTTTCTTTTTTTAATTTGTTTTTTCGATTTTTTTTTTTCCCGAGACGAAGTCTCGCTCTGTCGCCCAGGCTGTAGTGCAATGGTGCCATCTCAGCTCACTGTAACCTCCACCTCCCGGGTTCAAGTGATCCTCCTGCCTTGGCCTCCCAAATTGCTGGGATCACAGGCCTGAGTCACTGTACCTGGCCCACCCCACTTGTATTTTGTTTTTCTTTTTCTTTTTTTTTTTTTTTTCCAAGACAGAGTCTCGCTCTGTCGCCCAGGCTGGAATGCAGTGATGCCATCTCGGCTCACTGCAACCTCCACCTCTCAGGTTCAAGTGATCTCCTGCCTCGGCCTCCTGAGTAGCTGGGATTACAGGCACCCGCCCTCACACCTGGCTAACTTTTGTATTTTTAGTAGAGATGGGGTTTCACCGTGTTGGCCAGGCTGGTCTCAAACTCTTGACCTCAGGTGATCCACCCACCTTGTCCTCTCAAATTGTGGGATTACAGGCGTGAGCCACCACGCCCAGCCTGACCTTTTTTTCATTTATATTTTTCAGCACCCTACTTAAAAATTTTTTTTTAATTCTAATTAAATACGTATAACATTAAATGTACCATCTTAACCATTTTTCAGCACACAGTTCAGTCGTGTTAGGTGCATTCACATTATTGTGCCGACAAACCTCTGGGACCTTTTCATCTTCCCAAACTGAAACTCTGTACCATCAAACAACTCCCCATTCCCCTGCCCGCAACCCCAACACCCGTCATTCTACTTCATGTTTCTATTAGTTTGACTCATTCTGTTAAAAAAAAAAAAGTTTTTTTTTTTTTTTTTTTGAGGCAGAGTCTCACTCTGTTGCCCAGGCTGGAGCGCAGTGGCACTATCTCAGTTCACTGCAAGCTCTGCCTCCCGGGTTCACACCATTTTCCTGCCTCAGCCTCCCGAGTAGCTGGGACTACAGGCGCCCACCACCACGCCTGGCTAATTTTTTGTATTTTTGGTAGAGACAGGGTTTCACCATGTGAGCCAGGATGGTCTCAATCTCCTGACCTCGTGATCCGCCCGCCTTGGCCTCCCAAAGTGCTGGCATTATAGGTGTGAGCCATCGCGCCCCGCCAAAATATTCTTAATTAGTGGCCAACATTTTAAAATTTGGGTAATTCTGATTTTTAAAAGATATTTCTGGCTTTTCATGCAAAATCAGAGTTGTCAGGCTGACCATTAGGGAGATGATGGGATGGCACAGGATTTGAGGATATGAGGTGGCGGCAGGGGAGGGGCTTGAGAGCTGTGGCATCAGCCTCACCCTGGAGCCAGAGCCAGGGTGTTGAGGGGCAGGGAGGGGGAGATCGGGGGTGGCTTCCTGGAGGAGGGAATGGTAGAGAGGGAGATGAGAGTGGGAATGGATTTAGGGTGTTTAAAACTGAGCCTGAATCTGGATAAGTTGACAGAGAATAGGCAGAGGGTGGCACTGAATGAAAACAAAGGGAAGGTGATTCACTTTAAGGAAAAACAAAACAAAACAAAACATCCAGCACCTAACGTGTATCTGGCTCTGTTTTGGTTTTGAGGACCCAGCAGTGACCCAGCCAGGCTCAGGTCCCACCCTCCTGGGTCTCGCATGCTAGTAGGGACACACCCTCTTCCCCAGCGCTGATGACTTAGAGTGGTCAGGCTGTGGTGGGGGAACCCAGGGGGCTGAGGACACCCAGAGTTGGTGCATGGCCCAGACTGGGAGGTCACGGAGTGCTTCCTGGAGAAGGGGAAGTCAAAGCTGAAGCCATAGGGAAGAAAGGGAATTGAGAAAGAGCTGTACAAAGGGGAAAGGCTGAGGGTGGCAGAAGGGGGTGGTTCTGACAGTCAGCTGCTGCCTTCCCTTTCATCCCCCTCCCCAGGATGTCCTCGAGGCCCAGCTAGCCCCAGACTTCGACCCGATGCGGCTCACCCGCTGCCAGGCTGCCCTGGCGGCCGCCATCACCCTCAACCTTCTGGTCCTCTTCTATGTCTCCTGGCTGCAGCACCAGCCTAGGAATTCCCGGGCCCGGGGGCCCCGCCGTGCCTCTGCTGCCGGCCCCCGCGTCACCGTCCTGGTGCGGGAGTTCGAGGCATTTGACAACGCGGTGCCCGAGCTGGTGGACTCCTTCCTGCAGCAAGACCCGGCCCAGCCCTTGGTGGTGGCAGCCGACACGCTCCCCTACCCGCCCCTGGCCCTGCCTCGCATCCCCAACGTTCGTCTGGCGCTGCTCCAGCCTGCCCTGGACCGGCCAGCCGCAGCCTCGCGCCCGGAGACCTATGTGACCACCGAGTTCGTGGCCCTGGTACCTGACGGGGCACGGGCTGAGGCACCGGGCCAGCTGGAGCGCATGGTAGAGGCGCTCCGCGTGGGAAAGGCACGCCTGGTGGCTGCCCCCGTCGCCACGGCCAACCCTGCCAGGTGCCTGGCCCTGAACGTCAGCCTGCGAGAGTGGACCGCCCGCTATGGCGCAGCCCCCGCCGCGCCCCGCTGCGACGCCCTGGACGGAGATGCTGTGGTGCTCCTGCGCGCCCGTGACCTCTTCAACCTCTCCGCACCTCTGGCCCGGCCGGTGGGCACCAGCCTCTTCCTGCAGACCTCCCTTCGCGGCTGGGCTGTGCAGCTGCTGGACTTGACCTTCGCCGCGGCGCGCCAGCCCCCGCTGACCACGGCCCACGCGCGCTGGAAGGCTGAGCGCGAGGGGCGCGCTCGGCGGGCAGCGCTGCTCCGTGCACTGGGCATCCGCCTAGTGAGCTGGGAGGGCGGGCGGCTGGAGTGGTTCGGCTGCAACAAGGAGACCACGCGCTGCTTCGGAACCGTGGTGGGCGATACACCCGCCTACCTCTATGAGGAGCGCTGGACGCCCCCTTGCTGCTTGCGCGCACTGCGCGAGACAGCCCGCTACGTGGTGGGCGTGCTGGAGGCAGCGGGTGTGCGCTACTGGCTGGAGGGCGGCTCACTGCTGGGGGCCGCCCGCCACGGGGACATCATCCCATGGGACTACGACGTGGACCTGGGCATCTACTTGGAGGACGTGGGCAACTGCGAGCAGCTGCGGGGGGCAGAGGCCGGCTCGGTGGTGGATGAGCGCGGCTTCGTATGGGAGAAGGCGGTCGAGGGCGACTTTTTTCGCGTGCAGTATAGCGAAAGCAACCACCTCCACGTGGACCTGTGGCCCTTCTACCCCCGCAACGGCGTCATGACTAAGGACACGTGGCTGGACCACCGGCAGGATGTGGAGTTCCCCGAGCACTTCCTGCAGCCGCTGGTGCCCCTGCCCTTTGCCGGCTTTGTGGCGCAGGCGCCTAACAACTATCGCCGCTTCCTGGAGCTCAAGTTCGGGCCCGGGGTCATCGAGAACCCCCAGTACCCCAACCCGGCACTGCTGAGTCTGACGGGAAGCGGCTGAAGCCCTGATACCCTCGCCTTTGTTTTTCGGGGGTCTGTCTGGATGTGGAGAAGCTCTATGTGAGCAGTGAGGGGTGGAGGGGTGTCGCGGAGACAGGGAAGGGGGAAACTGACCAAGAAAGAAATTCGAGGGAGAGCATGAAAGAAGGCTGACGTTGGCAGGAGGAGAGCACCAGGAGGAGGATGGGAAGCGACCTCCAGATTTCTCAAATGGTCATGCCCACTGGGAGCCGTGGATATGCGTGGGGACATTCTGGGTCATCCCAGTCACGGAGGGAGCCAGGGATGTCACGCCGTCCCGCAGGGTCCAGCAGGGCCCCAGACCCGAAAAAAGTGTCCTGCCCAAGATTCCAAGAGCCCTGCCCTCTAGGGCAGGGACTGAGATTTGGAAACAGAAAGAGTGCAGGCTCTGGAGCCAGATTGGCAAGATTCAAATCCTGGCTCTATCGCTTATGAGCCAGGTGGGCCTGGGGAAGCATCGCCCTTTCTCAGTGCCTCAATAGCTTCCAGGATGCGGGACCCTTGGCTGCAGGGATTGCTTCCGCCACTAGAGGGCGCGCCGGTCCCGCTCCTGGTGGCCCACTGTGGCTGCCCGGGCGACAGTATGCCCAGGGTCTCTGTTCCATAGCCATCTACTCTCTTCAGCCTTTGGACTTCTCTCCAAGCCCCTGTGGAAGGCGGACAGCAGTGACCACCTCCCCTTCTTTCGGACTGCGACCTCCTTCCCTCCTGAGAGAGCCCTGTGACCTGCATGCTACTCTTAACTATTCTATTCAAGACTGAGTAGAAGTATTTCAGTCTTGCAGAGGAGAAAATACTCAGAGCTCCGAGGTGCAGCTGTCGTCGAGAACCGGGTGCTGGACCGGGCGCGGGGGCTCACGCCTGTATTCCCAGCACTTTGGGCGGCCGAGGTGGGAGGATCGCTTGAGCCCAGGAGTTCTAGACCAGCCTGGTCAACATGCCAAGACCCCGTCTCTATTTTTAAAAAAGAAAAAGAACAGACTTCTGAATCTCAGCTCCACTCATGATTATTACCTCATTATTTCAGCTGTCTGCACCTATTTCTCCACTTGCACGGCAGGGTAGACAATAACCGTAGCTCACACTTACTGAGCACCTGCTGGGTACCAGGCACCATTCTCAGTGTTTCCGTTGGATCAACTGATGCGTCCCTCACCTCAGCCCTCTGAAGTGACAGCTGCTATTATTTTCATTATACAGATGAGGAAGCTGAGGCCAGAATGGTGAAGTCACTTGCTTAAGGTCAGACAGCTTAGGAAGGGGCAAATTGGGGGCTTGAACCCAGGTGGTCAGGCTCTGGAGCCCACAATTGTCTTACCCAGTATGCCCCTCTCTAGTCATGGTCCCCACGAGAGGCTTGGAGACTCACTTAGCAGGTGAAAGCAATGGCAGCCTTCCTTATTTGATTATGCACCTAAGAATAAATGGTATTTGGGCATGTATTCCCAATATGTGTATATTTATTCATAAAGACATACAGATACTTATCTGTATGTTAGTAATAAAGCTTAAATTATTCCGTTTTAAAATTATGAATATGAATAGGGTTTTCTTATGTTTCTTGCCTCATCCCAATGACTTGTTTTGCACGCCCAGGTGTGAGCACCCAACATTCAAGATCACAGGTTTAAAAAAAAAAAAAAAAGGCTAGCCGGGCGCGGTGGCTCATGCCTCTGATCCCAGCACTTTGGGAGGCTGAGGCAGGAGGATCACTTGAGCTCAGGAGTTCGAGACCAGCCTGAGCAATAGAGCAAGACTCTTCTCAATTAAAAATAATAAATAAGGCCAGGCATGGTGGCTCACACCTGTCATCCCAACACTTGGGGGAGCCCAAGGCGGACGGATCTTGAGGTCAAGAGATTGAGACCATCCTGGCTAACATGGTGAAACTCCGTCTCTACTAAAAATACAAAAAATTAGCCGGGTGTGGTGGTGGGCATCTGTGGTCCCAGCTACTTGGGAGGCTGAGGCAGGAGAATGGCATGAACCTGGGAGGCAGAGCTTGCAGTGAGCTGAGATCACGCCACTGCACCCCAGCCTGGGCAACAAAGTGAGACTCCATCTCAAAAAAATAAAATAAATTTATAAGTAATAAATAAAATAAATAAGAGGCAAAATGTGAAAAACAAGCAAGAACTGGGCACAGTGGCTCATGCCTGTAATCCTGGCATTTTAGGAGGCCAAGATTGGAGGATCCTTTAAGGTCAAGAGTTAGAGACCAGCCTTGGCAACATAGTGAGATCCCTTCTCTACAAAAGAATTAAAAAATAGCCACTGTATTAGTCCCTTCTCACGCTACTAATAAAGACCTACCCGAGACTGGGTAATTTATACAGGAGGAGAGGTTTAATCAACCCACAGTTCAGCATGGCTGGGGAGGCCTCATGAAACTTACAATCATGGCAGAAGGAGAAGAAAACACATCTTGTGATGGCAGGAAAGAGAAGTTCCAAGCAAAAGGGGGGAAAGCTCCTTATAAAACCATTAGATCTCGTGAGAACTCACTATCGTGAGAACAGCATGGGGGTAACCGCTCCCATGATTCAATTACCTCCCATCCAGTCCCTCCCACGACACAAGGGGATTATGGGAACTACAATTCAAGATGAGATTTGGATGGGAACACAGCCAAATCATATCAGCCAGGCATGATGGCATGCACCTGTAGTCCTAGCTACTGGGGAGGCTGAGGCAGGAGGATTGCTTGAGCCTAGGAGATCAAGGCTGCAGTGAGCTCTGATTGCACCTCTGCACTCCAGCCTCAGCAACAGAGCATTATCCCATCCCCCAGCCCCCTCAAAAAAAAAAAAAAAAAAGAAAAGACATGGGCTCTGAGGTTGGAGAGGACTGGGTTTCTCAGCGCTGCCACCTCCTCCCAGGGCCTCTGTTGACCTCTGTCTCTGCGACCCCACCTTGCATTTGGGAAATGGAAGCAATGAGATCGCTCCTCCCACAGGAGTGTGTTCGCGGTAAAGGGGTCCAGAGTCTGGCTGGGTTTGAATCCTGGCTTGGCCACTTGCCTTCTTTGTAATCTCAGGCAAGTCACTGCCTCTCTGAACCTGTAAACTGGGGAGATTGGTAATATTGCACAATTGTACATTCCTCAGAGGAGGAGGCCTCACAGACCAGCAAGAGAAGATTACTATTTGGCCCAGTCTCCTGAGGCTCAGACATCCAAAGCCTGATTTCTTGTAACCCAACCCCTGGTTTTAACCACTGAACCCACAAATGGTTCACAAAGAGACTTGGCAGGTCCCCAGGGAGGATTCTGGAATGTATGGGGATGATTTGCATTATCATCATGACTGGAAGCTGCTCTTGGCTCTTGGGAGACGTGGTCCAGGGATGCAGCTGTCTTATGATATTCAGGAATCTCCACACAGTACAGCATCATCCCTTGTCTCATGCAGCTTCCAGATGTCTCACTGGACATTCAGGAAGGAAGGGTAATATTCAAAATGTTTTGCCACTGGTACTGTCCTATAAGTTAATATATGTCAATGTATGCATAAATTTTTAAAATATTTTAGGCCAGGCATAGTGTCATCCCAGCACTTTGGGGGGCCAAGGAAGGAGGATGGCTTGAAGCCAGGAATTCGAAACCAGCCTGGGGGTCAGGCAACATAGAGAGACCTTCATCTCTACGAAACATTTCAAAAATTGAACAGGGCGTGGTGGCACACACCATTAATCCCAGCACTTTGGAAGGCCGAGGCTGGTGAATTGCTTGAGCCCAGGAGTTCAAGACCAGCCTGGGGGCCAGGCGCGGTGGCTCATGCCTGTAATCCCACCACTTTGGGAGGCTGAGGCGGGCAGATCACTTAAGGCCGGGAGTTCAAGACCAGCCTGGCCAACAAGGCGAAACCGTGTCTTTACTTAAAATACAACAATTAGCTGGACATGGTGGTACACACCTGCAGTCCCAGCTACTCAGGATGCTGAGGTGGGAGGATCACCTGAGCCCAGGAGGTCAAGGCTACAGTGAGCCATGATCATGCCACTGCATTCCAGCCTGGGCAACAGAGTAAGACCCTGTCTCAAAAAAACAAAAATCCTTATTATCCCTTAAGTTATGATATGACAAAGATCTGTCACAATTAACCTGAACTAATTCATTTTTATTTGAATACATATTGAATTTTAGTGCTTTCTCAACTACTCTTGTACTATCATCCAGCCAGAATAGAAGTATTTCAGTATTTTAACAACGAGTATTGGCCAGGTGTGGTGGCTCACGCCTGTAATCCCAGCACTTTGGGAGGCCAAGGCGGGCGGATCACAAGGTCAGGAGTTTGAGACCAGCCTGGCCAAAATGGTGAAACCACGTCTCTACTAAAAATACAAAAATTAGCCAGGCGTGGTGGTGGGCACCTGTAGTCCCAGCTACTCGGGAGGCTGAGCAGGAGAATTGCTTGAACCCAGGAGGCAGAGGCTGCAGTGAGCTGAGATCGTGTCACTGCGCTCCAGCCTGGGCAACAGAGCGAGACTCCATCTCAAAAACAAACAAACAAAAAAGAACAGTATTTCCACACTAGTTCAGACCAACTAAATTTTAGCCTTACTTGGAGGTGAAAACCCTGGCCAAAACTCTCTCTCTTGTAAATACAAAGTCCTTTTTGTTTTCAAATGGCCTCAGAATCTTCCAGGAAGTGCAACTACCACAAAAAATGAGGGAAGCTTGTATCGTGTTTTGTTCAAAACTTGGCCAAAGGTTGTCCACCATGTGAAAAAAATCACATTGCACATGGCTGTTGGTAATTGGACACCAGTCCACATGCTTTCAATGTGTTAGAACTGTCTATAGTATAGGTGTAAACATCTGGTTACCTCCTTGGGTTCTGGGGTGCTGGCTCCACACATCTGCATAATAAAATGCATATTGTAAGTTTAGTATGTTCTTATTTCTTCTTTTTATTACGTTTAGGGCAATCAAGGATTGTTTTTCTTGCTGCCGTTGCTGTTGTTGTTTCTGAGACAGGGTCTCACTCTCTCACCCAGGCTGGAGTGCAGTGGCACAGTCTTGGCTCACCGCAGCCTCAACTTCCCAGGCTCAGGTGATTCTCCTACCTCAGCCTCCCAAGTAGCTGGGACTGCAGATATGTACTACCACACCCAGCTTATATATATAAATATATATTACATCTCTACTAAAAATACAAAAATTAGCTAGGTGTGGTGGCTCATGTCTGTAATGCCAGCAGTTTGGGAGGCCAAAGCGGGTGAATTACTTGAGGTCAGGAGTTCAAGACCAGCCTGGCCAACATGGTGAAACCCCATCTCTACCTAAAAATATATATATATATATATATATATTTTTAGGTAGAGATGGGGTTTCACCATGTTGCTCAGACTAGTCTCAAACTCCTGAGCTCAAACAATCTGCCCACCTTGGCCTCCCAAAGTAGGATTTTCTTAAATCATGTTAAATCATGTGCCAGCGGGTTATACTATCTATGAACTTCATTTCAGGAGAACAGAGAGAACTTTCCCAGAACTGACATTCAAGCCAGCACACGCCCTGGGATGGTCATGCCAGTGGTTTAAACCCCAAAACACTAAATTATGGATTATTTATCCATTCATATCACTGCCATGAACCCCCTGACTATTAGTATCCTCCTAGCTCTCCCTGGGGATCCCCTGGGCTGCCCTCTGGCCCAGCAGTCCAGAGGTTAAACTGGGTATAGTGGGAGGTAAGGGGGACCCATATCCCAGATGTTGGATGGACCAATGACTTTGCCAAGCAGTAAATATTTTGTGTATCAGCCCTACATGTTACAAAATATTTGCTATGAACAACGGTGGCATGTAAAGACCTGTCTACATTAGCCAGCTGTGGTGGCTTATGCCTGTAATCCCAGAGCTTTGGAAGACCAAGGCTGGAGAATCACATGAGCCCAGGAGGTGGAGGCCACCCCGGGTAATATGTTGAGACCCTGTCTCTACAAAAAAAATTTTAGGCCGGGCACAGTGGCTCATGCTTGTAATCCCAGCACTTTGGGAGGCTGAGGCAGGCAGATCACTTGAGGTCAGGAGTTTGAGACCAGCCTGGTCAACATGGTGAAACCACGTCTCTACTAAAAATACAAAAATTAGCCAGGTGCGGTGGCTCACACCTGTAATCCCAGCACTTTGGGAGGCCAAGGCAGGCGGATTACTTGAGGTCAGGAGTTCAAGACCAGCCTGGCCAACATGGTGAAACCCTATCCCTACTAAAAATACAAAAATTAGCTGGGCGTGATGGTGGGCGCCTGTAATCCCAGCTACTCAGGAAGCTGAGGCAGGAGAATCGCTTGAACCTGAGAGGCAGAGGTTGCAGTGAGCCGAGATTGTACCACTGCACTCCAACCTGGGTGACAGAGCAAGACTGTCTCAAAAATAAAATAAAATAAATGAAAAATAAAAAACCTGTCTACAAATGCACCTTTATGCACAATAGCCCCAACCTGGAAACCATCAGATATAAATCGGCAAGTGGGTGGATAAGCAAACTGTGGTACACCCAGACAACATAATACTCCTTAGCAAGTTT